TAAGTAGGACTATAACTGCTTGGTATATTCGGCTTTCGGCATTTATATTTCATGGGTTTTGTTTTTGTTTTTGTTTTCAATAAGGAGGATGTACTGCTTAAATAAAAAAAACAATTAAAAATTTATTTTGAAGAACAAGATCAAACTACAAGCTGACTAGCAAGTGACCTCCTGAAGCACAAAGCATTCCTAAAATGCGCCTCCTCCTAAGGCAACTGCAACACGGAATGAAAAGTGCTTTCTCGGGCGCCTGGGTGGCTCAGATGGTTAAGCGTCTGCCTTTGGCTCAGGTCATGATCTCAGGGTCCTGGGATCGAGTCCCGCATCGGGTTCCCTGCTCAGTGCAGAGCCTGCTTCTCCTTCTCCCTCTCCCTCTGCCGCTCCCTCTGCTTGTGCTCTTCTGTCTATCTCTCTGTCAAATAAATAAATAAAATCTTTAAAAAAAAAAAAAAAATGCTTTCTCCCTGAAGAGAAGAGCATCAAAGGTGACACAGTGGCCATCTCCATCTTGGTAGCAAGAAAAGAGACAAGTGGTCCCGGGATGGGCCACAGTCTACCCAGGGGGCTCACCTTTCTTTCCCCAGTTTCTGGGACAGGCACTGCAGGTACAATGACGGAGAGCTGTAGGGCCGTTCCAACAGGGACACATCCGCCACGCACAGGCTCCAGAGGAAGTCCGCTTCTCGGTGAATGGTGCCTGGCCCAGGCTGCGTGGCTTTGGATTCCACGTTGTGGACGGCTGGTCCGTCCACCTCCAGCAAGCTGCCGTTGTCCAGCGGGTCCTCTGATACCACATAGTTCTGAATAAAAAAGAGCTTTGGCTTCCCTAAGAGAGAAGGGCATGCGTCTCCCATGAACATCCTCCTGATCTGATCCAAAGGGAAACCCGAGTGTGTCTGATCCACGCCAAACACACTGTGGGAGCCACCACGGCTCACCAGGACACACACAAAGCTGTCATAGTCTTGGTGTTGGGGCATGCAGGCAACTTGGCGAAGAATCTGGATGATACTGTCCATGCTCAGATACAAGAAATACTGGACTTCATACCCCAGGGAAGTAAAGGTGTCCCGAAGAAACTCTGGACGAAATAAACAAACACACAGAGAAAACAACACTAGGGTGAGAAAAGCTTAAGAGGAACCGGGTAGCAACCCTAAGCACAGTCCGATCTCCACTACTTATCCATTTCGCTTTTGTGCCATATTTTGAGGTTTTGAAGGACCTAAGCATGGGGCAGGAAGAAATCAACCTGAAACACATGACATTCGTGTCCCAGGTTCTCAGTTCCGATCTGTCCCTGCCAGAGGCTACCTCCACATCTGGCCACAGGCACAGACTGAGCCCCCTTCTAGTCCAATGTAACCAAAGGGGGAACAAAACTTTTTCTCTTCAACCAAAACAAAGTTGGGGATTTTTCAAAAGGCTCTTTCTTAAACTAACACACAAGTAGGTAGGAAATGGTTGCATCTGCAGAGCGTAGATCCAAATCTAGATCCAAATGGCTGCAGAGAGGACGGCCCGGGTCATGCGTTCCCTCAACTCCCCAGGCTGTGGGCTGATACAGAGGCCCCTACGTCTAAGTTGTGACCATTTCCAGACTCCCCAGTTCCTCTCATGACCTGCTTCCCCGTGTTACCTCTGAGCAGTGGAATCCAAGATTCCCTGTAGTGCCCCCAAGAATTCTTCTCCTAGTTTCCAGGAATCCTGGATTGACTTTGCCTCCAGAAACAGTGGAAGGCAGTGGAAAAGGCAGACTTTATGCCAGACAAGCCTGCCTTCTAACACTGACCTTACCACACCTGTGGGCTGCATGACCTTAAGGAAGTGGGTCTCCCTAGCTTTAAATGGAAGTGGTGATACCCACCCTGTGAGCGTGTTGTGAGGATTAAATGAGATAATACAAATAAAGCTCCTGGGGCTCCATTCCCTTGTTTAAAAAATCTTGTTTCCATCTTTTAGAAATTTCTATAGCCTACCTAGTCCATTTCTTTCCCATCTGCTCAGTTTGCCTCCATCAGAGAGGTAAATACAGTCTCCTGCTTTGTTATAAATCTTTCTAATAGCAGAGACAGACACATCTTTCTCTTCCTCATTAAAAATTCCACATCCCTTTGAGTAACCCATTAAGTTTCTGTTCCTTGTCTGAGGGATGCCTCCACTTCCTAGTTCATTTGCAGAGCAGAAAAACTGCTATCCCCTAAGCTAAACAGGCATCTCCAAATTCAGATTGTTACCCAAACCCTTAGCCAACTTCTCTGGATTTCTGTCCATGTCTCATGACTAGGTACCCACCTCTCTTCATCCCCTGGGATATGGTCTTCCAGAAGTCTACCACGGCCTCCACCCCAAATCAAACAACACACTAGTAAGCCGAACAGACAGAACTTCTACCAAGGAACAAAAGGGTCCCATCTCATACGAGCGCAGGCATCACAGAAAGGAGAGAGAAATGACTCCGCTGAAATCACCACGTAACTGTTTGCACACACTGTCAACTCTCTGCATTAAATGGAAACAAGAGTTTCAGCCTTTCTGCCCTGCAAACATTACCAACCACTAATAAACTATAAAAGTCAAAGTTAGCTATCACAATTTCTCTTCTGGCTTCTCAACAGGAACTACAAAGGGAAAGACAGAAAAAGAAACACAGCCTTGGGTAAACAAAAAGCTGGAAAAACCGGCCACTGGACAAATAAGAGCTCTCCTCAGTGCTCTGAGTTTAATTCACCCAGCCCATGGGCAGTCCCTGGATCTGTTCATATTGGGTCTAGTAGAACTTCCCATTCGGGAGAGCTGGGATTAATCGTGGCCCCACATCTACCAGATATGGCAGTTTTAAATACGTCCGCAAATTCTTTGACACTCCTTCCTTAAAAAGAGTGTAATTCCCTTCCCCTTGAATGTGGACCATGCTTGGTAACTCATTTCTAATGAATAGGGCAAAAGGGATACTATGTGACTTCCAAAGCTAGATCATAAAAAGGATACAGCCTCTACCTGGCTCTTTCTCTCTTTTGAACAGCTCACTCTGCGGGGAGCCAGTCACCATGTCATGAGAACACTCAAGCAGTCTTGTGGAGAAGCTCACATGAAGAAGAACTAAGGCTTTGCACCAACTTTCACAGCCGCATGAGTGAGCCACCTGAGAGGATCCTTCAATCCCAATCAAGCCTTTGGATGACCCTAGCTGAAATCTGACCACAATCTGCCAAGAGACTCTGGGCCAGAATAACCCAGCTAAGCTACCCCTAAATCCCTGCTCCACAGAAACTGTGAGAGATATAAATAAATTAATATTGTTATTTTAAGCCACTAAATTTTGGAGTGATTTGTACACATTATTAGATAAATAATTCACCAGGTAAATCAGGAAAAGGGAATGGTGATGACCATTATTTAAGGATGTAGTTGGGCTACGTCCTTTTGATCTGGCCCAGAGGTAAGGGTGAAAAAAAAAAGAATTATATATCACATAATAATGGAGAGATATAAAGAAGGTGCTAATCTCCTGAAAACCCTATGATAAATAAATACTATGAGGGAAATGAAGGACATGATACACAGGTTGCTGGAGAAGCTAATAGCAGCTCACTCATCCCCACAGGATCTCAGTGTGGTAGAAAAAGCCCACCAGCACTGCCCCCTGGCCTTCACCTCAGCAGGTGTAGGCAAGCCTTCCATTCCCAGTACTGCGCCCAGGTTGGAACACAGGACTGGACAAAGAGCATCCAGACAAGGACCCCAGTTCCATCACTACTGCTGGATTCCCAAGTCTTCGAGGACTCTCATGTCATGGCGTATTCTTTCCTCCAGGGGGCAGAAGGAAACAGGGAAACACCAGACTCAAAGCTATTGTTTACTTCCCTCAGACTGACTCACTTCCCTCAAAACCCTCTCCTCACTGATAGATTTCCTCCCTTATCAAAGGCCTCGAAGCAAAGCCATAGTCTGTCTTTCCGAGATGGTATGCCGGGGTCAGGGACAGAACAAGGGCTGTCCCGTGCCTTCCATCTCTTTCCTTGTTCTGGGTTCCCTGTGGGTTCCGGCCAGAGTGGGGCATGTCACACAACAGTGAGCAGGCAGCTGCACGGCGCCAGCCAAAGAGGAACCTGTCTTGGAATCACGAGATCTGAGTTCCAATCCTGGCTCCTCTACCTATCTGCTGGGTCTGAGCCTTGCCTGGTCCTGGAAAAACTAACTTACGCCGACAGAGGGGCTAGGAAGGGGATGGGAATCTGATGTCTGGGGCAGGAAGTGCTTCCCTAATAGGACAGGAGAAAGAAGAATAAAGGGGAGGTGAAGCCAAAAACGTGACATGTCCCCCAAAGCCAGTAAGAACAGCAAATCTGGAGGGACCTCAGACCAAGATGGAGCCTCTGGCCGCCCAGTCACCTCAGGAGACACAGCCGGAGGTCATCATAGTCGAGATTTCCCATAATGTCACCTCTTTCCTCTATCAGTTAGGGAGGGCTGATGCTAGCTGGCATTTGCAACTTCCTTTCTTGGGCCAGCAAGAACATGGGTATAGCCCGGTCTGATTTATAAGATCCAGGGAGTAATGACGGTGTGAGTTTGAACAAATTAACGGTCTTAGCTTATTCATCTGTAATTAATGTGATTAATACTAATGCCTAGACCATGTTCTTCAAAAGGTGCCTGTGAGGATCAGGGGAGATGTCTGTAAAGACACTTTGCAACTATGAGTGCTTACTCAAATGTCAGATATTGATTTTAAAGAAAATAAAGGCAGGGACGCCTGGGTGGCTCAGTTGGTTAAGTGTCTGCCTTCAGCTCAGGTTGTGATCTCAGGGTCCTGGGATCGAGCCCGCAGCATCGGGCCCCCTGCTCTGTGGGGGAGTCTGCTTCTCCTTCTGCCCCTCTCCCTGCTTGTGTTCCCTCTCTCGCTGTGTCTCTCTCTGTCAAATAAATAAATAAAATCTTAAAAAGAAAGAAAAGAAAAGAAAGGCAGCCATTTCACCACAAATCATGGAGCCTGCAGCGCATCTCTCTCATGGAAGTTTCTCCTTAGAAGGGACCTCCACAGGGAAGTCTCTCTAGCCTACATTGAGATGCGCTGGGAGCAGTCAGATTCTGTGTCCCATTTATCACAGGAGCTGCCTTGTCATTTCCCTCAAATAGGGGAAGAAAAACTTGGATGCTGAGTTTGGAAAATAAAACTTCAACGACTGCAGAAGTCACACTTCTCCTTCCACCCGCCCTGGAAACCCCACTCCTGAACCAGCCCTATCTCTGTAAACCTCAACTTCCCAAAATGATGAGTTTTCATGTGGCCTTGCAGTTAGGACAAGAGCTAGGGTCAGCACCACCCACAGGTTTGGGGGTAATTGAGATGAAATCCAAAAAAAGCTATACACAGTAAAAAGTCATGAAGCCATTCATTTAGAATTTGTTTTCCTCTAAAATGAGCTCACATTGGGGTGCCTGGTTGGCTCAGTCAGTAGAGCATGTGATCATGAGGTCAAGGCCCACCTGGGGTGTAGAGTTTACTTAAAAATAAAATCTTAAAATAAAATGAGTTTGCATTAATCTTGCCACAATCTATAAAAAGAAGTCCATTAAATCAATGTATAGAATAAGAAGGAGGGAGTGTTTCATCAGTCTATTTACCACTACTTAATGAGCACCTTGTATGAGCCCAGTTCTAATTATAATAAAGCACACAAATGGGGGCACCTGCGTGGCTCAGTCGGTTAAGTGGCTGCCTTCGGCTCGGGTCATGATCCCAGGGTCCTGGGCCCTGAGTTGGACTCCCTGCTTAGCAGGAAACCTGCTTCTCCCTCTCCCTCTACTGCTTCCCCCTGCTTGTGTGCTCTCTCTCTCTCTCTGACAAATAAAAAAATAAAATATTTTTAAAAAAAAGATATACAAATGGAACACAGTTGGCAGGATATTCTTAGTGAGAAGGGGAGTTCTGAAGTCAAACATAAATGTGAAATGTAATGTTAAGACTTAAGCTTCTTTACAGGAGGACTGCTCAGTCTTTAAGACCAATATGCAAATCTCCAAAGGAGGAACAAACTATTCATCATTTCTCAAATTCCCTTGACTCCAAAACTCATGTTTTAAAAAGTTCCTCTCCCTATGTTGCAGAAACACTGTATTTCATGTTGGGAAATACAGATGAGGTACCTGCCCTTCCAGGAGCCTATCATCTAGTTGGGGAGCTTATAAATATGCACAAAACAATGTCACACAGTACAGTGGGATTTTAGGTACAATAAGCGGTCAAAGGAGGGGCCATCCGTGCAGTCTGAGACACCTGGAGATGAGACTGTAGTAAAGGTATAATTCAGGCAGGGGCCTGACAAACCAGAAGAAAGGGGAGGCCCCCCCCAAGTAGGGGGATGATCATAAACAAGGACAGAAGAATGAGTGAGTTAGGAAGTGGGTGGTAGAGTCAGCTTTGTAGAAGTCCAACTCTTCATTTGTTTCCCTAGACCAACCAAGAGATTTTAATGGACAACCTACATTCACTCAAACTTATGAACTACTGTTTAGAGATCTTCTTTTTATTTTTTTTTAAAGATTTTATTTATTTATTTGACAGAGAGAGACACAGCCAGAGAGGGAACACAAGCAGGGGGAGTGGGAGAGGGAGAAGCGGGCTTCCCGCCGAGCGGGGAGCCCGACTAGGGGCTCGATCCCAGGACCCCGGAATCATGACCTGAGCCGAAGGCAGACGCTTGACGATTGAGCCACCCAGGCGCCCCTAGATATCTTCTTTTTAAATACAAATGGTTACTAGTAATTCCTTCTGGACTAGCTTTTCTTAGAAGAAAACAATATCAATAATAAACCTGTCTATTGCACGCCAAAGATGCTTGTAGGGTCCCTCAGGCAGCCTCAAAGTACTCTTCCACGTATCCGCAACTCCTTATCCACAATTCAGAAACCCCAAAAGCTCTGAAAACCTTAAGTTCTTTTCCCTGATTCATTTTGTGGCAAAACCTTTCCTAAACCGATGAGAGGCTATTGATAGTCTTTATTCCACTTAGTGTGAATATCCATTCATTTTGCTGTAGAAATAGTAATGTATGGGCTCTAAGCCCTTTACAAGTGTGAATTCATTCACTTCTCCCAGCCTCCCCAAGAGGTAGGTCCTGTTATCTAACCATTTTATAGAAGAGAAATTGAGGGGGACCTGGGTGGTGTAGTCAGTTAAGTGTCCCGCTCTTGGTTTCCGTTCAAGTCATGATCTCATGTGTCATGATCTCATGGGTCATGGGATCAAGTCCACAGGTCAGCCTCTGCGCTCAGGAGGGAGTCTGCTTGAAGATTTGCTCCCTCTGCCCCTCCCCCCACTTGTGTGCACACGTGCGCGTGCACTTTCGCTCTCTCTCTCTCTCTCAAATCTTTAAAAAATAAAAAAAAGAAGAAGAGAAACTGACGCTTACAGAGGCTAGGAAAACTGTCCAAAGTCACATGCCAGGACATGGCAGAGCCATGATTCAAACCCACACAGTCATATTCCAGGACCGAACTCTGACCATGCTCCTATAATACAGGAAAACACAAATACACATTCAATCCTGGCACACAAGAGGCCCATAACTCAGCAAGGGACGTAAACACAGACACTGGGTTTTAGTCACAAATTCACAGCAGGTCATGGCTTTATGATTCTCTTCATACAACAGATACACATCCTGCAGTTGGGAACTGCACGAATGAAACAAAACTGATTATAATAGAAAGTGGAGGACAAATACTCTCTTTTAAAGCAGGAAGTTACTCATTGAGGAAATATTTTCTCATTCTTATATCGGTACTAATGGCTAAGAGAGAAAAGACACTTATCCATAGCTGAGGAGACAGCATGTCTCACATCTAACCAAAAATAGGACATGAGAAAAATGAGATCATATCTGAAGTCCTGGGAAATTCAACCTAATATTTGCTAATTTGACCTTCTCTTAGATTCTCGTCCCATACAACTGACCATGGTAACATTTTAAGTGAGCCTAAAAGACAGATCTGACTCATTCCAAGAATTCTGAAAAGCAAGAAAACTGTGGAAATGTGATGATCAACCCTTCGGAGGAAGAGATAAATAATTAAACATGCTCTTTCACAATGAGATTCTTATTCTCTCTGACGCACCACCAGTGATTGATTCAGTTTGAATAGGACATCCAACAACAATTGAGCAAGAGAATCAGTCCAGATCCAAACAACAGTAGCACACAACCCAAGGACAGGGTGGCAGAACTAAGTAACACACGGCCTCCGAGTGAACACACATTTACAATATTTTTTAATTTTTCCCCAGAAAAGCTTTCATAGTCTAGCTATATGAAATGATGGGACATCTGAGAACACCGAAGCCAGAAAGCCTTCCATTTTAAACCCCACTCTGGATCCCAGGACCCCTCCCTGCCGCAGCATCCAGCATGAAAAAGCAAGACTGAAGCTCCCCAACTTTCGGCCAATCACACCATTGTACCAGAAACAATGCTTTGTACTCCCCAAATCCCCTTCCCTTTCCTTCCTGGCATGCAGCCAGGCTGAGTTCCTTGTCTACTTCAGTTAGGTGGGGCCCCAGGAGTGAGTTCGACCAATGGAATGTGGATGGAAATGATGCACCTCACTTTCGGGACTGGTCCCTAAAATTTCTTGTGAGATCCTCCACGCACTTCCTTCATCCACCAGCCAGATACAGAGGATCCTGTGGAAAACCCCAAGGTTTCAGATGATGAAGTCACTGACTGATCACATGGAACGAAGCTCACTCCAGCCCAATGCACACTAGGCTGTGACATGAGTGAGAAAGCACCCCTCGCTATGTGAAGCCATAGGCTTCCGCAGTGGTTTGTTGTAACAGGTAGTGTTGATCACTGATGAACACAGCTTGTCTGGGCTCACCGTGACCTCACCGTGGGGCATCAGTTAATCCGCAGCATCCATACCTACCTATGTCATTGCCAATGCAATCGATTATCAGGCAGATTCCTAGGGGCTTGCTCTGCATCCTGTATCTCTCTTCTGGTATGTGCTGGAAAGGAAAGCAGGGATTGTTAAAAACTCTGGACATTGCTCTGTTTCCATAAGGTCCCACACATACACCATCTTTTCTTTTGGATTTCCTCAAACTTCCTGTTGCCAGGTGAGTCATGCAATAGACAGCCTGAAGTCACCATAGCTGACATTTCCCATTAATTTCACATTTTTTCTCTATTTAGGTAATGTGCTGAAGACAAGCTGTCTCGGTTTTTAATTTTAATGAAAATCACAGTCTCGTTACACATGATTGAGCTGCAGGATGAAGACAATTTAAAGCTGAGAGAAAGGATGGGTCATATGTTTCTACAGTAACCTGAGCTTATACAAGTGGTATCTTTCCAAACCAGTACAAAAGGAGGCCTTCTGTTGCCTCCTTACGGAGAAGGGCTTTCAGCCTTTAAAAAAGAAGCCAGAGCAAGTCGAGGTTCAGCATGAACTGCTTACGAATACATTCAGCAATCACTCAGCTGAGAGGAGAACTGCCGCTCTGGAATTTTCCCACATTCCAAAGTTCACGAATGCAATCCACATCAACATTTTTCTCTTGGCTCTATCCAAGTTCCTCGTTAGGAGAGTTCCCAGGAGAATGGCGCTCTCAGCATCCTATTCTTGTCCCAGAGAATTATTAACGGACAGATATCTTAAAGCAGCCAGTGTTCTCCACAGATACTGTGCATACAGTACAATACCAAATCAGATAATTTATTCTGTACCCGCGGTAGAAATGCTCCCGATTCCTGGATGGATGCCTTCACTGATTCTCCTGGCGGATGAGAGAGAAATCATTTACAAAGCTGAAGGAGAACTGAGCCCACTCCCATGCTGTCTGGGTTTCTTTATTTCTCAGCTGTTTTCTTCCCTTATTTTCTTCCCCTTACTATCTCTTCTTTGCTCTACTCAGCCCCATGGTTCCAACCACACACTGAAGAACCTAATTGATAAGAAAACACAAGTCCCCATGCCGTGCAGGGGGTAGGTAGAAAAACTGCTTAAAGAGCAAGGGGAAAAGGGCTCTCCCTTGCCCTTCTCCAGGCGAGGACCGGGTGACTTGATGAATTTTTAAATGGATACGGAGAATCCAATAACCTCACCACCCAACAATATCGATAGCTTTCTTCCCTATGCTGAAACCGTGGGCAGCATCTAGAGGGGCAGCCTTAGAGACTGCAGAGAAGGGAAAATTTACTTATATTTGTCACTGGTGCAACAGATGGCCATGTTTTCTTAGTCCAGTGCTATTCAGAGGTCATAAAATAAAATGGGAATGGCAAGATAGAGGACAGTGAGCCTAGCAAATGTAGATGAGCCTAAAGCCAATAACATTAGTTAAAAGCGACTTTATTAGCTCAGAGAGGTGGAGAAAGCACCAGCTTTGAAGCCATAAATGGCTGGCTCAAACCCCAGCACCATCACCGAGGAGCTCTGTGATCTTAGGCAAGGTTCCTCCTAAAGTCTCAGGGTGTTTCGTTGTGTTTTGTTTTTAAATCCCAAAGATGAACATACCAACATCTACCTTATAAGATTGTTACAAAAATGAGAATGTCTAAAGACAAGCAAAGACAATGCCAGTATTTGTAAGGTTTGGGGGAAATGAGTACTTTCTGTAAGTAAGTAAGCTGAAATAGTCTTTTTAGGGGCACCTGGCTGGCTTGGTCAGTAGAGCATGTGACTCTCGACCTTGGGGTTGTAAATTCAAGCCCCACATCGGGTGTGGAGATTACTTCAAAAAAATAAAATATTAAAAAAAAAAAGAAACAGTCTTTCTAAAGGACAACTGGCAATACCTTCTTTTTTTTTTTAAAGATATTTATTTATTTATTGAGAGAGAGAGAGAGAGCATGAGAGGGAGGAGGGTCAGAGGGAGAAGCAGGCTCCCCGCCGAGCCGGGAGCCCGATGCGGGACTCGATCCCGGGACTCCAGGATCATGACCTGAGCCGAAGGCAGTCGCTTAACCGACTGAGCCACCCAGGCGCCCCCTGGCAATACTTTCTAAACCAACATTCTGCTTCTAGAAATTTATCCTAAGGAACTAATAGAGCAAGTATGCAAAAATATCTACCGAATAATTGTTTATAATGGCCTCAAACTAGAAAAATACTTAAATCCACCAACATGAAACTGGCTAAATAAATCATGGTACACATAATGGATACTATACATGTTAAAAAAGATAAGAAAGATCTTTATGTATTTGACATGAAAAGATATGCAGGGTATATTAAGTGAAAATGGGTTATTGAATAACATGGATAATATTAATCCCACATACTTAAAAATACGTATTTGTGTGCATATGCTTACACATATATATGCTTAAAAATAAGAGTCTAGAGGTATATAAATCAAATGTTAACAGTGGTCATCTGATACTTGGGATTAAAAGGAAATTTCTCTTTTTCATTTTGTATTTAAGCAATCATGGATTAACAGAATAAAAAAAACACACAAAATAATCTATGTATTATGCCTATCTTGGGTTAAGGCACTTAGTAAGAGCTTAATAAATGATAGTGATCAACATCATCATGATCCAGTCAAAATCTATTTGGAAGTCCAAATTAATACAAACGCTTTTTTCTTTACTAGCCAATAAACCAGGTCTAGGCAAAAGCAGGTCCCTAGCTCTCTGAAGGATCACCACTGGTGCTGGGAGCCTTACCCATCTCACCTGTATCATTACGTTTTTTCTAATTTAAATTCAATTAGCCAACAGAGAGTATACCATTAGTTTCAGATGCAGAGTTTAGTAATTCATCAGTTGCATGTAACACCCAGTATCATTACAATTAAGGAGAAACCTGCCATCAGGGTGCGCTATGGAAAGAACACCAACTGTTTTTCATTCCTATCCAAATCTACCAGGTCTCCTGTTTTCCTTTTAAACAGCTTTCAGAATGCTAATTCTCACCACCTCACCAGTGTTTTGAGAAACATGCTGTCACTTCAGGAATAAATTCACTTCTCGGTAGCTTTTGCTGGAGAGCAGAAGACTAGGTAGGGAATGACAGGCATGAGCAGTACCATCTGGCGAATCTGGGCGAAATGCTTCTCGGTTTCTAGGAGCAGGCAGACAGCATGGAGGCTGACTCAGAAGATTTTGGCAAGGGGCCTGCCACACAAAGAAGGCTCCCAATGGGCCACTGCTCTACTGGGAACATTCACGATTGCCACTGCATGCGGGACAAATTGCAAGCCCCTCAGGGAAGACTGAGACCTCCCTCGCTGCCTACCGATCCCTGCCTCCAGAAGTGCTGTAGCACAATCCGCTACAATACAGTATGAGACCAAGTCTCAGCCTTCACTTCAAGGAGGATGAGAGACAAGCAAAAGAAATACACTTTTTGAGGCACTTGGGTGGCTCAGTCGGCTCAGGTCATGATCCCAGGGTCCTGGGATCCAGCCCCGCATCCGGCTCCCTGCTCAGCGGGAAGCCTGCCTCTCCCTCCCCCACTCCCCCTGCTTGTGTTCCCTCTCTCGCTGTGTCTCTCTGTCAAATAAACAAATA